CAACCCTGTCCCCCAGGGTCACACCGACAGCCCAAACTGATCCCTGACCCCCCAGCCCTCGCTGCCACACCTGTGTGGTGACAGTGACACGGAGGGGAGGCCACAGCCGGTGCTGCCTGCCCGAGGTACCCCCCCGGGGTCCTGTGGGGCACAGCCCATACCCAGGGCACCACCAGGGTCATTTGTGGAGCACCCTGTCCTGGTGAACCCAGCAGGACACCCACCACCATCACACTGGGGTGGCAGGGGACACTGACACAAAGCTCCTGGGGCAGCTGGCTGATCTCAGACCCAACCCCGACCCCACCACGGGGACCCAGCACTGAGCACTCCAGCACCGTGTACCCCCCTGTGCACACCCTGCCCAGGTGCAGCTCCCTGCCCACTGCCCTGGCACTCCACCCCAGCCCGGAGTTTTGGGGTCTCTGGCAGCCCCGTGTCCCCCCAGGGTGCCAGCCCAGCCCAGCCGGGGGCTGCAGCCCCCCAGGCCTGGCGGCAGCACGAGGCTCCCCGGCGGGTGAAGAGGGCCTGGGTGATCCCCCCCATCAGTGTCTCGGAGAACCACAAGCGCATCCCCCACCTCCTGGTGCAGGTAGGTGAGAGCCCCCAGCCCCTCTCCCGGCTCGCAGAGCGGGGACATCCCGGGCAGGATGTCCAGGGCCACCTCCAGAGGGGCACAGACCCCCAGCCTGGGACCCCCAGCCCTGATTGTCCTGGGTAGATCAAGTCAGACAAGCAGCAGCCCGGCGGGGTGATCTACAGCATCAAAGGGCCGGGGGTGGATGAGGAACCCCTGGGCATCTTCTCCATCGACAAGTTCAGCGGGAAGGTTTTCCTCAACGCCATGCTGGACCGGGAGGAGCACGACCGCTACCGGGTAAGGAGGATCCGGGGTGCCCACAGCCCCTCCCCGGGTCCCCAGCCGGACCCCGACCCCCCCTCTCTGCTCCCACAGCTGAGAGCCTTCGCGCTGGACCTGGGCGGGGTCACCCTGGAGGACCCCACTGACCTGGAGATCATCGTGGTGGACCAGAACGACAACCGGCCGCTCTTCCGGCAGGACGTGTTCACCGGCCGCGTGCTGGAGGGGGCTGAGCCAGGTGGGTCCGGCCGGGGGGCGCTGGGCTGCGGCACCGAGCCAGCCCCGGGCCAGCGCCCACCGGCCGCTGCTGGGCCGCAGGGACCTGCGTGATGACGGTGGATGCCACGGACGCCGACGACCCCGACACGGATAACGCGGCGCTGCGCTATTCCATCCTGGAGCAGGGCGCTGCCGGGATGTTCAGCATCAACGCCACCACCGGGGAGATCTGCACCGCACGGCCCGGCCTCGACCGGGAGGTAGAGGCGTGGGGTGGCTGGGACGGGGCTGGGGGGACACTCAGGACACCCCACGGGGTGAAACCACAGCCCTGCCCACGAGCGGATGCAGGCGTGGGGACAGGGTGGGTGGGCAGCGGCTGGGGGATCTCTGTGCTCCCTGGGGACTGGGGGGGCTCAGCTCTGGCCCCCTCACTCCCCACAGACCATGGGGGTGTACAACCTGACGGTGCAGGCGGCCGACATGTCCGGGGACGGGCTGACCACCACGGCCGTGGCCGTCATCTACCTGGAGGACATCAACGACAACGCTCCCGAGTTCACCAAGGAGGAGGTAACAGCCGGGACACGGGGACGTGCCGGGGTCAGCGGGGGGGAGCTGCCGCCCCCGGGGGTCTGCAGCACCCCAAAGGGCCAGAGCGCAGCCCCACACCGCTCTCCCCCAGTTCTCCATGGAGGTGGAGGAGCAGGCGGCCGGCGTGGACGTGGGCAAGGTTTTTGTGCACGACAAGGACCTGGCGGGCTCGCCCAGCTGGTTGGCCAAATTCACCATCCTGGAGGGCGACCCCGAGGGCGCCTTCGCCATCCGGACCGACCCCCACACCAACGACGGCGTGCTCTCCGTGGTCAAGGTGGGCACGGGGCAGCCGGGGGGGTCCCCGGGGGTCTCATGGCTCGGCTGACCCCCGGCCCCTCTGGCAGCCGCTGGACCACGAGGTGCGGGACCGCTTCGAGCTGACGGTGTCGGTGCAGAACGAGCGGCCGCTGGAGCCCTCGGCCCCCGCCAGCCCCCGGGCGCTGGCCACGGTGCGGGTGCGGGTGCGGGACGTCAACGAGGCGCCCGTGTTCCGCGAGAACCCGCGGCGGATCAGCGTCCTGGAGGGGACACCCCCGGGCACCCCCATCACCACCTACACCGCCAGCGACCCCGACACGCAGCAGATCCAGAGCCTCTCGTGAGTCCCGCTCCGCTCCCGCGGCCCCCGCGGCGGGGCTGGTGTCTCACGCAGCCCCTCGCCCACAGCTACGCGCTGCTCTACGACCCCGCGGGCTGGCTGCAGCTGGACCCTCACGCCGGCACCGTCCGCACCAAGCGGGAGCTGCTGCACCCGTCCGCCTTCCTGCAGGGCGGCTGGTACATCGCCCTGGTGCTCGCCCGCGACGACGGTGAGCAGCCGCCCCCGCCGCGCCCTCGCTCCCGCTGCCCCCGCTGACCCCTCCGCTCTGTCCCCCGCAGCCGAGCCCCCGCTCTCGGCCACCGGCACCCTCTCCATCGAGATCCTGGAGGTGAACGACCACGCTCCGCAGCTGCAGCCGCCGGCCGGGGTGCTCTGCGGGCGGCCGGGACGCGGGGGGACCCTGCTCCTGGGGGCCACCGACGATGACCGACCCCCCCATGGAGCCCCCTTCCACTTCCAGCTCAGCCCCCAGCACCCCCAGCTCGCCCGCAACTGGAGCATCGCCCGCTTCAATGGTGAGAAACCAGCCGGGGAGGGGGGGATGCCGCACAGAGGGTCCCGCTCACCCCCTGCCCACCCCGCAGTGACCCACGCCGTGCTGGCCGTGCTGGCGGAGCTGCCCGAGGGGCCGTACTCGCTCCCGCTGCTGCTGCGGGACTCGGGGACGCCGCCGCGGGAGCAGCAGCAGCAGCTGAACGTCTCGGTGTGCCGCTGCGGCCGGGACGGCACCTGCCTGCACGGGGCCCTGGCCGCGGCCAGCGCCGGGGCCGGCATCACCTTCGGGGCGCTCACGATCATCCTGGGCAGCGCCATCCTCCTCCTCGGTGAGCGAGACCCCCGGAGTCCTTCCCCCACCCTCCACCCCGCCCCGCCGCCCCCCAGCCCTGTGCTGGTCCTGGCCACCCCTCCCGAGCCCCACCCAGCACATTCTGTCCCCCTGACCCCCACCCAGCGCATTCTGTCC